GAAATGATATAACAAAACACAATACAATACAAGAACTACAAAATCAAAACTATAGTAATATGTAAACCACCGGTACTTTGCAAAAAAAATGTAAAAAAAAAAGAAAAAAAGAGAGAGAGAGCATTTGTATGCTGAGAAATATGCATTTGATAAGATATCAAAATGAGTATCAAACATCATATACAATAGAAGAAGAAGAAAAAAAAACAAATTCACTAATCTAAGATTCATCTAATGACGATGAGGAAGACGACAAGAGCACACGTCGTCGTTTTCGTTTTGTTTGTTGTTGCTGTAGTTGTTGTTTTCTTTGATGTTGTCGTTTTGTTCCTGTATTTAATGGTTGTCGTCGACTATAGTTATGTTCACGTTCAGTTGAACATGGCGTTAAAGGTGGTGATGGTGGTTGATTATTATCATATGAGAATTCATTACGACGCATTTGTCGAGTTTCATTACCAATTTGAATATGATATAAAAGTACACGTTTACGGCCTAAATATTTACATGAATAAATTATACCATCAGTCCATTTAATACGAATATTTGAACCAACAATAAGAGTTAACGGTTCAATAGATGGATCAAAATCAAGAATATCTTCAGCAAGCCTTAATAAAAAATTTAAAAAAAAAATAACGAATTTATTTATCGAAGAAATTTTCATTCTTTACATACATATCATGACTATAACATCCATCACCAAAATCAACAGCATAGTGAAAACTTATTTCATTTCCCATAACTCGACCCATTTTTTCTTTATTTATACCATTCAATATTACACGTGTACCATTCGGTACACGTTCATTCTCAACAATAATTTCATCATCATCAACATCATCGCAATCGTCGTGTTGTTGTTCATCATCAATTCTATCGTCTAAACATTGTGTTGTTTCATAAGTATTATTATCTTTAGATGAGTGTTGATTGTTGACAGTTATTGAAGATTGATGAGGTATCGTATGTAGATGACAACGAGCATTTATTATTGAATAATCATTGTTCATTTGAAATGTACATCCACTGATAAGACCACATGTTACATGAAATAGATTAGTACATTTAGAATAATTACATGATACAAAACTATGAGTTGATATACGACGATAATTTAAAGGACAAAATGATGAACAGTAATGACAAGATTTTAATTGAGATGAAGTGGAAGACTGTTGATATGCTTGAAATATTGAACAAATAGCATGAATAAATGACGATGATGAATTAGAATTAAGCAGAAGACCACCACGAAATAAACAGGCAGAACAACGATCATCAAGCATTTCGGAAGACAACTTCAAAAAAATAAAAAAATAAATATAACATAAAAATCGATCTATCGAATTTAGAGCCCATCGGGTCCGGATATCTAAGCTTTTACTGACCGGACCCGTATCGAAAGAAATATGTTATCAACATAATATTTTTTTTGAATCTCTATAATTTTTTATTCAAAAAGTCTTGAATTTATTTCTAAAAACAATAGAAAAAACAACAACAAAACTATTTTCGACGCAACTATCAGATTTCAAGTAGAAAAATTTACTGAGAATCTAAAAGTACAGTTCGAGTTCAGGCTAGTGCTCATCAGGATCGAGTCCGGCTTGGATCCGGGTCCAAAAAAGTGTGGACCCGATGGGCTCTAATCGAATTACTTATAATAAAACTTTTAAGGTATAGTTCTCTCATTAAAAAAGTTAATGTTAGTTCTTTTGTAACTCAATTTTTATAAGATTTTCTGCGTATAATGTGCTAGCTATCGAGAACGATACATAAAAGAAAAGACTTTCATATGAAGAAATAAAATAATGTTCAATTACTTGTTTTTTTAAAGTACATCGTTGACAATACCATGTATCATATTCATCAGTAAGTTTTGCATTTAATGCTAAACATACATTATCATAACATTCTTGGTGTACAGTAACGTGACAATCAGTACATTCAAGTAAATTATCCGAAATATTTAATTTATTATTTGATTCATCTAATGTAAATAAATGTCGAATTGTTACTGATGATTCATCATTATATTTATTTGCAGTAAAAAGATAACAAATTGCACAATTAGATATTTGATTATTTAACCATTGATTAAATATTTGTTCTGATTTTTGATCTATTATTTGATAATTCCAAAGACCATTAAGAATATTTTCACGATATTTGCTAGATTGTTTCAAACCATTAAAAACTATTGGAAGTGATGAAGAAGAAGAAGAAATATGAAATGCTATATTAGCAGTTAAACATAATAATTTCATTGAATTCTTTTTTCGATTTTTATTTAATTTAAATTGAGCTCGACAAAGTGCAGCTCGAATTAATGGATTAGGATATTGTATTATTGATAATTGTTTTAATTTATCAAATTTAGCTAAATTACGAAATATACATGCATATCGTTCATCAGATATTCGTTCATGATGATAAGATTGAAACTGTTTTGGAATAATTAATGAATCAGTAGAAGCTTAAAAATAAAGAAAGCAATGCAGCAATATATATTATTGTAGTTTAGTAGCATATCGGAAAAAAAATAGTCAGAGAAGCTTGAAATTTTATTAGAATTCGATGTTAATTTAAACGATTCCTGCCAATATTAGATTATCTACCTATTTATTGTTGAATAATGATAAGCTTTACTTTCCCTAGATGAAAATAAGTTGTTAATAATAAATATTTCTATACAGTAATGATACCGAATAAAACTAGAGCTAGTATTAATATATAATTCTATGAACATATTAAAAACCTTTGATGAGAGTTGTCTACATAAATTATCAAGATTCAGAAATAGAGTTAGCATGAAATGTCGAAACTTTTCGCAATGTATAATGATGTCATGCAACTATGAACAACCATCCTGAAGATATTTTGAGAAAAATGAAACATTAAAAAATAACGATGGAATGCGATGACACTGCCCAAGAAGACCAAAAATTGGAAAAACACTCAATCGGGAACCGCGATTATAACCCATTCACGCTTAATAACAAAACACCATAAACGGCGTTTTGGACGTAAAATCACCACCTTTATAACGTTAAAACGGTGGAAAACTCCTATTTTTAAAGGTGGTGATTTTACGTTCAAAACGCCGTTTATGGCGTTTTATTATTAAACGTGCATGGGTTACAATCACGATTCCCGATTGAGCGTTTAAATGCGTTTTTCCAATTTTTTGTCTGCTTGGGCGCCTATACTCGATAGCCAATTATTAAAGAAAATATTCATTGGAAACATGTGTCTGTTTTCGATGACTTTAATATTTCATTAATGTTGACTACAGTATTTTCAGTGTCTATGCATGTACAACTTCGGTCGTATATTTAACTTCAATCTTGCATATCACTAATCACAATTAGCAACAAAAAAAGATGTCTTGATTTTTTTCAAAGCTTAATCAATAGTTAATTATCAGCAAATAGTGTCATATAATCAATTATTTAACTTTTTTTTTCTTCTTACGTTTTGGCAAATTATTGCATAATGGTAATCGTTTTTTTGTTGGTGAACTTCGAACAATTGTTGTGGTATGTGTGGGCATTGATTCATCTTCAGGATGTGATGTTAAATTAATTCCACGACACCAATCATTATAAAGTTCTGGTTGATATTTAAGTACAAAACGATCCATACCAATTTTAACCATATCATG